CCTCCTTGGCTTCTAGAAGAGAGAAGGAACTCTTTTCTTCATCATCGCCTTGGTGGGGTGGACAGCTTGGGATAGTCATTGAGGAGAGCAGGAGATATGTATTGGATATGGGATGATATGGGGATCTTCATGGCATATCAACATATATCAACTGGATTTGGCTTCACTGGTGTGACCGAATCGTTTCTCTGTTTCAACAGTTTCCATTTGGTTGGTGGTTGAACCCTACCCCTGTGAAAAATATGATTTCGTCAGTTGGGATGATGACATTCTCAATGTTATGGAAAAATAAAATTCATGTTCCAAACCAGCAACCAGATATTTCATGGTTACCCTCTGGTAAACTAACAGTTTGCTATGGAAAATGGCAATTTTTCATAGGTAAATCCACTATCAATGGGCCATCATGGCACACATTTTCCTGCTCCGAGTGAGGACATTGGACGAACCAACGGCCTGAGACATGGGGATGATGTCACGCATAAACATGACCAAAATTACGACAGGTGGAGTTCCATTGCGTGAGTTAAAGCAACTTATATGAGAACTGAAACAAGCAAAAAATGAGAAAAATGTTGGAGAAAATGCTCATGTGTCAGTATACCACGGACCTTTTTTTTTACTGGTCACACATGAAATTTCTGCTCCATGGGTTGATCTGGACTGAACAGTTTGGGACGAACATTTCGTGATTTATCATAATGTTCTCCATCAAAATTAAATACCATATATCAGGATGTCCCTGATTTTTAGGACAGCTCCATATCATTAGGTGATCGTTTTCAATCTCCAAGCTATCAGCCAGATATCACTGAATCCGACTCTGGAAATGGTGGATTAAAAGAACTATAAGCAGATTCCCTGATATAATCCTTAAATATCCTAGAAAATACCAACCACTTCACTTCACTACCCACGAAAAAAACCATGATTTCCCGTTCCCCACGTTGCCGAAGAACGGAAGGGCACAAAGCCACAGGCGCCGCCCGTGTCGCGGAGCCGCAGAAGAGCATGGGAACCTGGCAGAATCCAGCAGAAATGAGGGTAAAACCATGCCATAAACCACCCCATTTCTGAGGGGAACCATACCATCTATAAAAATGGTCACTGGGGGATGGAATATATCTAGTAATATTGGGAATATCATGTGAATATATAAGTGGAAATATATGGTCATCAACCATTAATCATCGGGGTCATCAACCATTAATCACATTAACTAGCATACAAATGTGGGTAAAACAATGCCATAAACCACCCATGACTGAGAATGGGAACCATACCACCTATAAAAATGGTGATGACCGGGGGATGGTTTATTATTGTTTTATCCACATTAATGTGAATATATAGTGGGCAAATGATGCCCATTAATGGGATTATAAACTGTTTATACATATATGGTAATAGGATTACAGTGGGGGTTTGAGAAACTTGAAAATACGGGCCAATCGTCAACACACGGAATCCAACATGATGTCAATGAAATAGTTAAAGTATGATATGGATTCTGATATGGATCTATGGACAATCTCATATCTGTATATTGGGCAGTGGGATATGATGCATCAATGGATTGTGATTATTGTTATTCAACGAATACATTGGAACAATGCTGGTTAAGTAAATCATGGTTTATTGATTATTATGATTTCCCTTTTCCCTATCTATACATATTCGAGGAAAGATATTGTTCATCCCATCTTGATATCTATGTCTATTTACATGTTTGAATATTCTTTAGACACATCTGTAAAAACACTCATACAAATCCAGATTTCTAGGCATACACATTGGTAAACGAGCTGCTGCAACAACAATACAAGAAGAGCAATGCCACCAAGACCAAGTCTAATTTTGCATAGACACACAATGCATTGCAACCATCAACATGTGGGGGGTTCCATAAATGGGGGCTACCCCACAAATAGATCGTTTTTGGTATGGAAAATCCTGCTGGAATGGATGAGAACTGGGGGTGCCCATGTCAGGAAACCTCCTTGTTCACCTAGTCATGGTAGATGAGGTGCAGTGGATTTTGGCGGCGAAGCTTACCACTATTGGATGGGTCACATTTTTTTCGGGCTTGCGGCACAGCAAATACCTTTGAGCCAGCGGTGGACACAAACCCAGATCACTTTGGACCACAGGTACAAAACAAGTTCTTGCTCAAATCCCAAAAGGCAGTCGCTAGCTCTTTGCTACGACTTTAGAAGCCGACTTTGGACCTTTGAACTGTCTCCACCTTGATCTTCATGGCCCCAAGCAACTACAGATCCATCTGCTAGGACCGCAGCAAATGCAGCACCTGTGGCATTGAGCTGCTGCACACATTTCAGCCGATCTTGGAATAACAAACTGTCAGCACCACCTTTTCGATTGCCCCATGTCAGTACCGATCCGCCTGCCAGTATAGCAGCAAATGCACCACCTGTGGATTGAATCTGCTGCACGCTCCTCAGCTGATCTTGGACTTCAGAGCTGTCACCTCCAGCAGTACGATTGCCCCAAGTGACTACAGATCCGTCTCCTAAGATAGCAGCGAATGCACCACCTGTGGCTTGAATCTGCTGCACACCCCTGAGCTTATCTTGGACTTTGGAGCTGTCACCACCAGCATTGCGATTGCCCCAGCTAACTACAGATCCATCTTCTAAGATAGCAGCGAATGCACCACCTGTGGCTTGAATCTGCTGCACACTTCTGAGCTGATCTTGGACTGCAGAGCTGTCAGCACCCGCATACCGATTGCCCCAAGTGACTACAGATCCGTCTCCTAAGATTGCAGCAAAGGCGCTATTTGTGGCCTGAATCTGCTGGACACCCCTCAGCCTATGTTGGACTTCAGAGTTATTTCCGCCACGATCTGGATTTCCCCACGCAACTACAGATCCATCGGCCAAGATCGCAGCAAATGCAGCATATGAGGCCTGGATCTGCTCGACATTCCTGAGCTGATCTTGGACTGCAGAGCTGTCACCACCGTAGTGTGGATCGCCCCACGTAACCACAGATCCATCTGCCAGTATTGCAGCAAACGCGCCCCCCTTTGTAGCTTGAACCTGTTGAACGCCCTTGAGCTGATCTCGAACAAAAGAGCTGTTTCCACCACGTGTTTCATTCCCCCACGTAACAACGGATCCATCAAGCAGGATCGCAGCGAACGCATGGAAATTCGCCTGGATTTCTCGCACACTTCTCAGTCGATCCTGGACTGCCCAGCTTCGACCACCATGCCGTGGATCGCCCCACGTGGCCACCGAACCATCTGCCAGGACCGCAGCAAAGGCGGCAGCTGAGGCCTGGACCGCCTGGAGCTGCTGAATGCCTGGAAGGCCTGGAAAGTCACCACCACAGGAGGGATGACCCCAGGTAATGATCTTATCACCTCCATAGCCAAAGAGTGCAAAGGCCTTTGATGTTGCTGCTACCCTTGCTTGGAGTGCAATGGCAATGAGATGGTCTCCATCTTGAATGCCTGCAGTTTGAAGAGATCCCAACGAATCGACTAATGCGTGTCCCTCAGGTGTGATAAGCTTCAGGAAACTTTGTCCGAAAGACTTCTGGGCCAGAATCCTCAAGTCTTTGACAGAGGAGGACAGGTGAACTGAAAGGCTCTCGTTGCGCCCGCTTGGCAAAGCTACATTCACTCGAATCATCTAATCATCTACTGAAAGGTGAAACACTGAAAACTAAAATTCCATCTGAGATATGGGCTTCTCCAAACAATGAGGTATTCCCCAACAACGAGTTCCCCCAAACTAGAATAGTGTTAGTTTTGGAGGGTGCCCAATCTTTCTGACCTCTTATATTTTGGGCCAAAGCACGGAGGATCAACGTGACTTCAATTTTCTTACATGCATGCATGTACATGCCAATAACAAACCCTAAAAATATATAAACATAATATCCCCAAAAAATAAATGGCTGAGTCTCTAGCCTTTTTGAATGCTACAATATGAGAGCACGTATATGAATATATATATATGTAGCACATTGTAGTACCATTATGTTTTAGTGAGGCACGGTAAAGTTCAATGTTAGTGCCAAAGATGAGTTGCGTACTTTATGAGAAACTTCCACTGTAACGGCTTGTCAAACCGCAGTCGGTCACCTGACACCATTTCTGTCATAAAATCACATGATGTTCCAACATCTTAAATGTTCGTCCAGTTTTTTTTAGCTGGTCGGGACGGTCCACATATGAAAAATATGAACGCCGCACACTCACCAGCCAGTTGACCAAAATCTTCGATATTCAAATCCTGACTGTTTGTTGTTTAGGCTTAGATCTGATTGATGTGGCAAACCCAATCATCACCGACCCATCCCATAAATTATCAATTTTATGGGTGCTATACACCATCCTCAACTAGTAGGTTTATCATTGGGTTGCCATCGCTCCAGAAATCTTCGCGGATGAGCCTGCTAACACTTCAGGTCCTTCCAATTCCTGAGAGGACAGGACCCGCTTTGGAAAATTTTCAGCTTGGCTCTGCAGGCCTCGAACCATTTCTAATGGTTCAAGGCCAATGGTAGATACAGTACCAACCACAAACAACGAGACTTAAAAACCGGCTGCTGGGTAGATATCTATCAGCATTTTGTAGCAACAAAGTACTGGACGAAACTGTACATTTAAGGTGGGCCCAGTGATGAGCAATGCCATCATCACAGGTTGGGAGGGCTGAACGACCATATGGTGAACAGTTGCGGGATTGAAGCGCCAGTGTGGCACGGCAAGGTTTTCTTCATGTTTTGAGGGGAAGCCATGTCAAATTGTATATACACAGGAGACTGAGGGAAACTGTTTTTTCCAGCTGCTGAGTCATTTTCGCATTTAAAAACGGCATCTAACCCATTCACCTACCATTCACCTACTGGTTGGACTTAGTCAATAGTACTTCCTGAAGCTCTGCTCAAACGCTACAATGCTTCGAACATGGAACGCATCCACATGCATCCTTTGATGCAAGATTGCCATGCCGCAAATGATTCTGTATCCTATCAGAATCAGTTCTGCCCGGCATCCAGAACTGGCTCAAGCAAGAATCCACAGGAAACAAGACAAAAAGATGGAGAAAACTCAGTGAATCCGAGCAGCGTGTGTTAATAACAACTAACGTAGAGGGTCATCACAATCATCGGTACAGGTAATATAATAACCTTTTTATAATCACTCATACCAACCAATCATTATTTATCAATTATATAAGTATATTAACTCTTTGCGGTTGAAACCAATACTTTGGTTCAATCACGGTAAGCTAAACATTCGACACATATAACTAATCAACACCATCAACCCATAGTCGCTTCTTAGTGTGGTAAATCCCAATTGTTGGTGCACAAATCCCTCTTGATAATCCTGTTTGGGGACCTGTATCATATTGTTGCTCTTTGATGTTCCCATGATGCCTCAAATATGTCCAGAGAAAGTGGATGGTTTTTTGATCCCTGGAAAATTACCATATTTCCTATACCAGACTAGTTCGGCCATTTGGGGATCATTTCCCATAAACCATCATCTACAGTGACCCCACTGTTCCAGACAGCCGCCAGCCGACGATTTCCTCATGCCCTGCAATCCCAGCATCGAAACGAAAGCCTTGACCCAGCACTGGAGAAACAGAGATCCAGGCCTCAAGGGATGGTCAAAGTGCCCTGCCACAAAAAAAAAGGGCGGCTGAAGCCACACAGTCTGGCTTTGGCAACGAAGAATCAATAGGATTCGGTGTGGTTTTGGACCTTTGCCGAGTGAAAAGGCCTTTTGAGTGGTATTGCCACGCAAGGTGGAGCCTCCCATGTTGTAAGCTGGTTTATACAACCTACTTGCCAGAGATAAATGCAGTCATTAAGCACATGCCCCCGTTCACATGGTACTGTTGATGAAATCACAGGTTTTGGTTGGCAACCTTCAAAATTTGAAAACTAAAATCACAAGTTTTCACACGAAAATCACCCTTTTTGATAGTTTAACACTTAATTTGGTGCACCATCTCAGTTATAACGATTAAATACCCAATTTTGATGGTTAAATCCCTCATTTTCAAGCAGTTAAACCAGATGTCATGGTTAAAACTAGTTGACCATCAACATATAATGACAAATCCAATTAGAATTCGATTGTTTCTCATTTTCTAATACTTTAACCAAATAATGTGGTAAACTCAATAACAAATCATCCCCGAAATCACCATAAATGGGTGGTATATGGTGGGTATAAGACCATCCCCAAATGGTAGGTTTATGGGTTTACCAAATTCCATAGCATTCCACCAATAACCACCAAATAATGGTGGCAATAATAAGATTGGTAATAGAAGAAATTCTCCCAGATTTTGCGAGAAACAACACATTGATGACCCAGGCAGCGCCGTCTGAGGCTTCGCACAGGACCTGCCACTTCCACTTCACCCATCCAATCGGAATAAGAGGAGTCCTGGAGGAAACGGCATGGAAAAACGGCGACATGGTAAGTGTGGAAAAACAATATGGACATGGTATATAACCATGAATTTCATGATTTCATGATAATTTTATGATATAATTATATAATATTCTATATATATATATGACATTTCATATTTGATCTGTTTGCATGGTAGTTTTATGGGATATAACCATAAACGTATATATGTCAAGGTACTGGTACCTTGATGAACATCGAGCATGGTCGGACTTCACCAAGAAAGTGGAGATAGATACCGCATATTGGAACTTGGCCCGCAAACAAGAAACATATGGACATTTCCTAAATGGGGATGGGGGTGCCCCTAAATCATCCCAAATTAGACCATTCTAGTATTGACACCCATGGTTTTGGTATCCCATTTTAGGAAACTTCCATATCGGAAGCACCAAAAGTTGAGAATGCGGAGCCTCAAGAGTCAGCGTTCAACCGACAGGAAACAACCATCCGTGGGAGAGCCACCGATGGGGAGGGTTTACCCCTCCAATAAATAAATGCTGGTTGGTGGTTTCAACCTACTCCTCTGAAAAATATGACTTCGTCAGTTGGGATGATGAAATTCCCAACTGAATGGAAAAATAGAACATGTTCCAAACCACCAACCAGAATGGGATTATCTTGGTGACATCCGGAAACATTTCTGAATCATATTGCATTTATTCTTCTCGCGATGACTTTGGTCAGGTGAAATTTATGGAAATCATTGAAACTTGAAATCTGACCAGGAATCTTATGGATGACTATTTATGAACGATTCGAAGCGGCAAACCATGGCAGTCTGGCCAATAAAAGGTGAACAACCAGACAGGTGCGATGCTAAAATTCATACAAAAGATCGCTGGATCAAACATTACTTGGACATTCTCTTTACCCTCTAGTAAACTAACATAACTATGGAAAATCGCCATTTTTAGAGTAAATCAACTATAAATGGCAATTTTCAATAGCTATGTAACAAATTGCCAGAGGGTATTTGTTGCATGCCCCCATTACAAGTAGAGGATAAGAATGGATAAGAGATGGATCCCTCAAGGAACTTTACAAACTCTACTGCGGCAAGGGTTCGCCAAAAAATGGAACACACGTGTGATCATCAAGCTATTCTGGTTGGTGGTTTCAACCTACCCCTCTGAAAAATATGACTTCGTCAGTTGGGATGATGAAATTCCCAACTGAATGGAAAAATATCAGAGGGTATTTCCTATTGATACCCCCATTTTGGTTGGTGAATTCCCCAACTGAATCACCATGAACCACCATTATTATTCCCAACTGAATGGAAAGTCAAAAAAAAATCCATGGTTCCAGTCACCACCAACCAGCCATTTAGGCTCCGGATTTTTGGCAGGTGATCCCGGTTCTTGGCAGGTGATACTGTGATACTCATTCCACTCGCTACGCCAGTTGGACGAAAATACAGATGCCGCCAACGTCTATGGCTTGTCTCAGCCTTTGATGATCTTTGATTTGTTACATCCCTTTGTTTGCTTTAGTACTTTAGTTGGTTGAGCCGAGTCAAACACTTAGGCGTGTCATGTGGGAGGCCATCGCACAGGGGGGTTCGCAGCGGCAGCAAGGGTGACCTTGTGCTTTAGCAGCGCCAAGCACACCATGTTGACATGTATGTTCAACTACAGCTTCACCAACAACCACGGTCACGAATGAGCCCAGGCACTTTGTCCGGTACAACCACGGTTCACCATGGGCCGGTTCCTGCACTGACTTCCTCCTCAGGCTCCACTTGATTGGCTTCAAATCTCTGCTGAGATGTCGGCGGTGTGTCCTTATGGAAGTAAGCTGCTGTGCACTGGACATCTGCAGCAGTGGCCGCTGGCTCCTCAACCTAGCTGCTGTTCCTGTGATGCTTCAGGGCCAGTTGATGCAGCGGATCTGTGGCTCCTAATGCTATGCTGAAGTTTTATTTGTTCTCTGGAGCTACCATCAGTAGCCACAGAGCACCGTGTCTATGATAAATAATGCCTTCCTTTTATGACACTGGGACGCCAAGCGTCGAAGCCAAGAGCTCTGGCCGTTGTATGGCAACATGGTTGCAAGGTAGTGATTCACACTTGGACCAACCATTTACCCAGGATTGCCCATAATTTCCTGTTTCAAGCCCATGATTAAATCCACATCTTTGATGAGTATTGGCCCACTTTTATTCTGCAGACAAGGATTTTACCATCCAAGAACTTGTTTTTTGATGGGTTTCGCCACACAAATTACCGATGGTTGAGCCTTTTTTTAATTTTGGGGTACCCAAAAAAATCAGGCCAACCCAAGTGACTAAAAAAAAACAATTCCCATATGTGGGCTTGTAAAATGGGAACCCATTTTTACCAATGGATTCCCCTCAAACATGACCGAGACCTTCGATAACAACTGGTGATTTTGACAGACATGGCCAAACCCTCCATCCCAGCTGTAGCCCAGATTAGAAACAGATCCTGTGAGATGTTAAGAAATCACATTTTCAGGAATAAATATACAATTTTCGTGAAATTATTTCCTGGGATATGCGTGTGATATATGCATGAACACATCATTTTTCAAATTGTTATACCATATATCCCAGGAAATATCCGTGGTATTCACCGAAAAGGCGGGTGACACCACCCATTTCGTGAAATTCCCAGACACCAAGAGAAACAATGACTACGAAAGACACAATCTAAATACATATTTCGATTAAAAGATCATATCTATATCCCCTAAATCTAATATTAGTCTAATGAGATAAAACATACATATTCATGCAAATGGTCCCCTTAACTTCCCATTCATATCCATTAATATCCGTGATGAGTAATATCCATTCATGCTAATGTATATCCATTTAAATACGATTCATATCCTATTAATGTAGGTAAAACAATGCCATTTGCACCATCCCCCAGTCATCACCATTTTTATAGGTGGTACAAACTCCCAATTCCCAAACTATAACCAACCTATAACTAATAAACTACCCATGACTGGGAATGGCAACCATACCACTATAAAAATGGTGATGACTGGGGGATGGTGCAAATGGCATTGTTTTACCCCCATCCAGGGCTTCGGCTCCTCTTCGCAGCAGTTCCGTGCTGTTTGACAGGCATAGCTGGGACGACACCAGCCTCGGCGTCTGTTGAAAGATAGGGCTTTGGACCGTTTTTCCACGGGATTTTTCATGATTTTTGTGGTGATTTTGGAGCACCAAAACGGAGATTTTTCGGCAAGATTCTCAGATCTCTTTTGATCAAAAGTGGGCAAATGCAAATGGAAACTGGGAAAATTATGGAACATGCGGTTTAACGAACTCAACCATTCAACCAGCGAACTGCGGTTGTAATCAACAAAAACCAATCAAACATATGGCTGTTGATCAAGTCGTTGGGTATCCCAAATCGCTGACTAGGCTACCCGAAAAAGGTTTGAAGGCTTGAGAGAAAGCCAGAGGTTGACAGGAAAGCAGTTTCACCTTGGTTTCACCTTAGTTTCACCTGTGTTTGCCAAGACAAGGTGAAAAATCATGCAATATCAGGATCAATACAGATCAATATCAGATCAATACCAGATCAATATCAGATCGATATCAAGATCAATACCAGATCAATATCAGATCGATATCAAGATCAATATCAGACCAATATCATCACCAATATCAGATCAATATCAGACCAATATCAGGATTGATCACGATATTGAATTTCAAAGCTCTGAACTGGACCATTTTCAATATTATTGAACAGCATTTTTTTTCAATCCAGGGATTGATTTTTTTCAATATCGGATCCTCAGGGAGTCTTACCCAAGTGGCAAGCTTGCACGCCCAAATCCAAGGGGTTATCATCCCTGAAAGACAATTCTTTTGGGTATCCGCTAGACAAAACCATATGGGGGTAAACAGTAAATGTTCCCGTGAATTTCTAGTTCACCTCATAAGGGCACCCAATTGTCATACCTATCCTTCCTGAATCCATCCTGGTGCCATCCATTGTTTGAGTCGTGCCTGGCCATGCTTGACCGCCTTTCGCAACAAAGGTTTACCATGGTTTACATAGAACCCGGGAGTGAATCAACATAACTTTGCCTGGGACTCTTGGTTGAAGAGCGTCGGATTTTTGAGGCGACTCGATTTGTTAAACGGAGGCCAATTGCTGACCATGCTCGCTCCTTCATTTGTCAGCTCCTTTTTGTTGAAAGGAAATTTGAAGCTTCAATGAAGGACATGCGCAGTGAATTCCAATTTTCGGATTGTGATAAATTCACGGCAATCCACATTCACAAATTTGTTATTGGCACATGTTCCAAGGCTACCATGTCCAATCTTGGATACCCTGCAAACCTACATATATGTCATTTATATGTTTAGCAAGATCACCATTATTAGTTTACCCACTTTCAATTGCACTCATCCGCTGCGATCAAGTCAGCGAAGTTCACGCACAGTTCATGCACAGTTCACATTCGGTGAAGGGGTGGGTTGGCTTTTGGGGGGATATACTCTCTGGTAAACATACAAAGAGCTATGGAAAATCACCATGTTTAATGGGAAAATTCACTATGAATGGCCATTTTCAATAGCTATGTAACAAATTATCAGAGGGTAACTTCATGGGTTGAAACCACCAACTTATGACCATTTGGATCCTCACCAGGTGGACTCAACAAGCTGATCCAAAAAATTGCTAAACTGGGCAATCCCGCCTTGGGGGTGCAGTTAGGCGAATGGGATTCACGGTTTAACTAACCATTGACTATAACTGGTTGGTGGTATACCTACCCTTCTGAAAAATATGAAAGTTGGGATGATTATTGTTCCCAGTATATGGACAAAAAATCCACATGTTCCAAACCATCAACCAGATAACCTTCATAAGTTGGCATATAACTTGATATAACCACTCAAGACAGCTGCAGTGGCATTGCAAACCTTCACAAACAACTTCTCCTCGCAATCCTCTGTGACAAGAGATTTGCTGGTGCCTTCAGGCCGACCATGTCAACTTTGTTCTGGTAGCTTCAGTCTCTGAAATGTGACCAGCTCAGTGGCCACTTAGCACCAAGATGCTTGTTCTCAGTGTTATCAAACGCCCCAGTGCCGTGACCGCCGTCACTGGGCAGAACTTGATGAGTCTGCTAGCAGTTGACTTCCTATATGACTGAGAGGCAATGATTGACTTCCTGTGGTGCCAGTGAACAGGGTCCACGTTTGGCTTCCGAAAGCAAGGATTCAACTGTTTATTGCCTGTCAACTAGTCGCTGGCAGCATGACTTGTAGTTCACAGTTACACTACGAAGCATCCGACTCAAACAGCTGGCAAGCCAGCTCGGCTGCAATTGTGCAGATGCACGGACAGAATCCCAAACTGCTTGAACATGTGGCTCCTCCAATCCAGCTTGCTCTTGACTCTTGGGAGCCGTGCATTGTGCGAGCATTTTACCAAATTTTTTACCTACATCGGAGAGTATTTGCCTAGTTAAATCACCCACTTTTTCAACTTCCGTGGAATCAAAAAAAACCAAGGCATCGGCGGCGCAGCCAAGCAGCAAAGTGAATAGACGCCCACTCGGATGATCCGAACGGAGTCCTGGCTGAAACTGCTGGGATGGTAGGCTCCGACTGGCCTTTTTAAAAGGGTTTTCAAGAAATCGATGACGTCCCCAATTTGTATATATGTAATATATATATATATAATATCTCTATATAATATCTATAATATCTATAATATATATATATAATATCTCCATATAATATCTATAATATATATATATATCTAAATAATATCTCTATATACTATCTATAATATCTAAATATATATATATAATATCTCTATATTATATCTATAATATCTAAAAAATATATATATATAAATAAAATATCTCTATATAATATCTCTATATAATATCTATAATATCTAAATATATATATATATATAATATCTCTAAATAATATCTATGATATCTAGAATGTAAATATATACACATATATTCTATTAACATCTATTAACATCCTTCGCGAGGATTGGTCGGTCCAAAGGTCACTGCAAGCATGATGTGTCGAGTGGATCATTGATTCATTGACTGATTGATCGCGACCACAATTTCATTGCGGACATTGTTGCAGTCCTAGTGCTTGTTGTCGCCGTTCTTGCGTCGTCCACGCGGTGTGTGCGATAATGTTTCCTTACTACTCTGCTGTGCTGCGTCGTGTTGTCTTGTGCTACGCCGCGTCGACGACACGCTTTAAGAGCGCAGGCACCAGACATGCTAACAAGCATCATCCACACGAATGCCCGCAGTGTTCAATGCCATGTGCTCCAAACTTCCTTGCACCCAACTTCTGTTCCGAACCCTGACTCTACAAATCCGGAGCTTCCGCAAATCCAGCCACTGACTCACCATTCACTCAGTGACTTAGATTGAGAATATCGGCAAATTATGTGATGCCCGTAACGTGGCGTGCAACATCCTTCATTTCAAGGTGATTAGAGGTGACTTTCCCAGCCCTGCATCGAATGTTCGGGAATATTCTAGCTTGCCACGTTTGATTACCGACATTACCCTCTGGTAAACTAACATAACTATGGAAAAGCACCATTTTTAGGGTAAATCAACTATAAATGGCAATTTTCAATAGCTATGTAACAAATTACCAGAGGGTAATTCCGAAAAACTGGACATGCGCCAGCTCTTAGGGATGATTTCTGAAAAGGACCACATCATCTACAGCGAGGTCGTTCTCAGCTTGAGAATGGCCCAAGTTTCTGGACAGCTCAGTAGGAGATGACCAAGCTTAGAGGGCCGCAAACAAACAGGACTTCAGCTGGTTCGGTGAATCCCTGTAAAAATAGCAACAGGTCAAGCTCGTATCCCGTATTTATATGCTCCATGTAAACCCAAAATCATATTGTTATCCCCATGAGATATCCCTATTTTGGCATGTTTGGCTCTTTTTTCCATCACATTCCCTTTATATTCCGCTATTTTGTTGGTTGTCCCCATTCTTTGAAGGTAAACTTCACAAATTCATTCGTCAAACCACTAGAACATAATCTCATAGTTACATTGAAGAATTCACATTTTTCAAACACACAAAAATCATCTCTGATTTGAATCCCCAATTTTTGCGCACTAACACATCATATTCAATTTTCCAATACTAATAACATCCTAGTTGGTGGTTTCAATCCCTCCGAAAAATATGAAAATCAGATTGGATCATCATCCCAGCTATTGGGGTAAATAAAGGTCATGTTCCAAACCACCAACCAGTGTTTCTTGGTTTATAAACCATAAGGGGATTTTCACTAGTTCGTGAAATATCTACCATAAACCATAGTTCCAGTCACCACCAGCAGGATAGCATCATATCCCACAACGATCTCCAACGATCCCACCATCTTTTCGCCAAGGTGCCCAGGATGCCATATCACCATTGCGTGCCATGGGCCCGTTGCCTCAAAAAGGGCGGAACTGAAGCGAGAGTTCGTCACATCAAAAATATGGTTTTATTCATGGTTGTTGTTGATAAGAATATTGGTTAGCAGTAATTGATGTTAATTGTTTATACTGGTTGGTGGTTTTGACCATCTTGAAAAATATGGGTCAATGGGGAGGACTATCCAATATATTTTAGTCAATAAAAACATGTTTGAAACCACCAACCAGTAATTGACGTTAATTGTTTATACTGGTTGGTGGTATACCTACCCCTCTGAAAAATATGAGTTCCAAACCACCAGCCAGGGTTGTATCTCTATAATAACTATGATATTCCCATTATAATAATTATATACCCATCATATACCAATTATATACCCATGATCATGTTAACTGTTTATAAGAATATGTCAATGATACTTCTCCAGCATGTGCTTGGGAAACTCCATCCGTAGCTCCAACGGGAAGCTCCCCATTTCTATGGGGAATTGATGGGATTTTTTGGATACCCACAGCTCCGAACCACTCCCTCCGGACCGAAGGATTGCTTTTTTTTCTTGGTTAATATATTTTTTTAAATGGTTTATAATGGATCAACATATGGAATATATGGTCTTTTTTTAACTGCTTTATACTTTTTTGGGGTTAATAGGATGATTTTAAATGGTTTAATATGGATCAACATGGAATAATCATGGGATAATAACAAGATATCAACGGATATACCCTCTGGTGTTTTCCAACGTGGCTAGCTGGAAAATCTCCAAACGTAACTGGAGGAGAGATGGGAACATCCGGAACATAAATGATGGATGTTCCATTGTCATGCTTGATTACTGGAGGGTAGTGTGGATGAAATATGATTAAATATGATGAAAAATGGATGTTCATCGATTCATTCCTTACCAAATCTGGATATCTGGTAGATTTTTGAGCCATCCATCAAGATTTCACAGACATGGGGACCATGGGAACCATGGGAACCATGGGGACCTCGAAATTGGCGGTCATCCCAACTGGATAGACCTTGGCAGATTTTGGCTCCGAAGAAATCTGAGTTATATATCAAACATATCACACCAAAGGAGCTGGAGCTGGTGGGCCGCCACGTGAAGTGAACATCTTCAATCCCAAGGTCCCTTGTTGGAGATTCGATGAGTCAGATGCCAGTCTCCTGGATATGAATCTCTTGGATTCTCCCCGGAATCCATCAATCTGAGATCTCCAAAGAACTTTGAATCAGCTGGTCAGGTAAAAAAAATCATCCCTGGGATCATTATTTATGGCACAATATCAAGTTATTCCCAGTATATTGCATGGTAGACATACCCCCAGGATTGATGGTAAATTCAAAGATTTAGTTACTTCAATGACTATAAATCGTTAAGAATCACCGTTTTCACACATGCTTGCAATAGTTAAATAGTTAGTCATATCATATCCATTCATATCCTGTGGAATATCGCCATAGTGTCCACCCTGGATTAATATCCATCCATTGGGAGGGTACCATTTAAGTATTAGATTATGACTGTTGGAGGACTACCCCCTCAATTAATAAACCATGGTTTATTAATACGGCGTTGACATTAAATGGTTGGTTTCATATTAAAAATCCATTCATTTTCCTCCACAGCTGGTTGTGGCGGAACTCCGCCATGGTACAGACATTGCCCACACAGGGCGGCTGCACGGCAGAATCCATCAGACTGGAACCAACGTCGCCGCAGGTCCAATCCGCCTGAGGAACGGAGCCCCGGAAGCCGTCGGAAACATAGGGATTTCACCAATTGATGGGGTTAGTTTTGTTGAGTAAGTTGATGAAGATAGATCCAAGAACTGTTGGGCTAAAAGGCGGCAGATGTTTGGTAGATATCTATAGAATTGGATGGAAACTGGCAAAAAACGTATGTTTCATGGTAAAACCATGGTTTTCGCAGTTTCCTGTAAGCCAATCCATTGAAAATAGGACTTGGGATTGAACCACCAGACATGCGGTCCAACCGGTTGGAGGAAACCAGAAACACCCGCCACAAAGAAACGGTGATTTAACGCCGGAAAAGGATGGAAAAGGTGGTTGAAACGAATAAAACTGGGGAAAAAACGGTTGTAATCAAATCATGTGGCTATATGGCACAAAAAAAATTGGGTACTAATAAGTTCTTCAAACGGGTAATGTTTACTATTGTTCATGAAGTCCTGCTTCGAGGAATGGTTTTCAGTCAGCCCCAACCAACAACATCCAACAACTACTGTCCGTGAATCAACCCTGGCAACGGGAAACCTTCACTTGAATGGAAAATTCAACATTGAAGATGGAGGTTTCCTAAAAAGGGGAGCCCAAAACCACAGGTTTCAATACCAACATCTATTAAAATGGTCTAATTTAAGATGATTTGGGGTACCATTTTAGGAGACCTCCAAGTTTGATCCAGAAGAATTCTTCGTTATCGAGTTTTGGCTTCTAATTCAACGGAAAGCCCTCATGAATTGGCATTCTTCTCTGGCAATTCACATCTTAGTTCAGTGTGATTTTGGAATCAACGGAATGCCCACCGGGAGTCAGGAAGTTACGGTGTACGATGCTACCAGGGTTGCCAGGACAAGGTCTTGGACTGGTGCTGTATCCGAGCCAACTGCACAAGCCATCTCCTCCATGTTGCATCTGGGGCCACTGTCCTCCAGAGCTTTGACAGGTTCTGAAAGAAATTGGCTGGAAGTGGTTCCTGCATGAGAGCCAAATTTTGGCATCCTTGCTCCTGTCATGCAGCAACAGTCGGGCTTTTTTGCCTCTTGGAAGCCTGCAACGGCGAGAAAGTGATTTCCTGCGAAGAATGCCTTTACTGCGATGTATCTAATGTTGGCTACAAAGTGGGGCCCCTAGATAGCTAAGTTGTTATTAGACCAATTATGATACTCATGGGGTTATAACATTTTAACACAACTTATAACTGGGGGCTCCACATTGCAATTTGAGCTATTACCATCTGGTTATTTAACGTCGCCATGGGAAATGGCCCATTTATGGATGATTTTCCCACTAAAACCACCATTTATAAGGGATTTTCCATGGCTATGTTAAATAACCAGAGGGTAGCTATTGTGGGTTGTACCTGCAATGTGTCGCCTTTAAGATCTGATCGCCAGGGGGTTGTGACATGTTAGTGGCCAAGATTCGCGGTGTTTGATGATTGTTGGCAACAAAATGCCATGACATTCACACAATCATTCAGTTCCATAAGACCATCCGAAACCATGTCAAACCCATGAAATCCCTCTAACATGTCCATGAAATCCCATGAAATTCCGATGAAATTCCGATGAAATCACCATTTTTGCAGGTACGATCACATTTCACTCGCTTTCCACATGTTTGAGGCACCCCAAATGGCTTTCCACCAAGGAGCGGGTCGAACTCGGACACGGCCTTCTCCTGAGCCGGTTTAAGGGATTTTAAAAGATTTTAGTGGGAGTTCAATGGGCTATTCATGGGAATTTCATGGGATTTCAACGGTGATATTAATATTAATATTAAAATTAATATTAGTATTAATATGTATATATATATATATATATAAATATTTTATCTTATAAATAAATAAATAAATATATATATAAATATAAAAACCAGTAGTACTGCACAAGGCGGTGGCGGAAGTTTCGAAAATAGGAAACCTATAGGAGAGATTGATTGTTGTGAATCAGGGATGGCAGAGCGAATCCACTGATGGACCGAAAGGTGCTTGAGGTCTCCTCTCTCTCTCTTTCTCTGACTATCTACCTACCTACATACCTATCTACCTACCTACCTACCTACCTATCTATCTATCAATCTATCTATCTATCTATCTCTCTATCTCTCTGTCTCTCTCTCTATGTATCTATGTATCTATCTCTCTCTCTATCTATCTATCTATCTATCCATCTATCCATCCATCCATCCATCTATCTATCTATCTATCTATCTCTCTATGTATCTATCTATCTATCTCTCTCTCTCTCGCTCTCTCTCTCTCTCTGTCTCTTTCTCTCTCGCTCTTTCACTTTTCAATCTGTCTAGCTGTCTACCTGTCGATCTGTTCATTTATGTCTCTATCTATTGCATCTCTCTTATCCATGTCGTCTCTGTATGTAACTACGTATCTATCTATTTGTCTATTTGTCTATCTGTCTCTCTTTCTATCTGTCCATCTATCTGTCTATCTGTCTATCTGTCCATCTATCTATCTATCTATCTATCTATCTCTCTATCTATCTATCTATCTATCTGTCTATCCATCTATCCATCTATCCATCTATCCATCTATCCATCCATCCATCCATCCATCTATCTGCAAGATCAAAAACTAAGAAACCACGGAAAATGCATCTTTGCAGATCCTCTTCAAATGTCCCACGCCTACCATGGTTTTTGGAAATGCGACAAAACCCTCACGTTTTGCTCATTCTTGACAAAGTGCACAATCCCTTGCGCCTGCCACGCCAAACGACATCTGAACCTCCAAAAGTGCCGCGAACATGTGGTGTTTTGTGCATTTTCACTTCGACATGTGCTTCGCGCCACAACGGCGTGCACTTTTCCACATCGGAACTTCCAAAAGTGGCGCGAACATGTGGTGCTTTGTACATGTTCACTTCGAAATGTGCTTCGCGCCACAACGGCGTGCACTTTTTCCACATCGCAACTTCCAAAAGTGGTCCGAACGTGGTGTGTTTTGTACATTTTGACTTGGAAATGTGCTTCGCGCCACAACAGCGCGCACTTTTTCGACATCTCAACTTCCAAAAGTGGTCCGAGGCTGGTGTGTTTTGTACATTTTGACTTGCAAATGTGCTTCGCGCCACAACTGCGTGCACTTTTTCGACATCTCAACTTCCAAAAGTGGTCCGAGGCTGGTGTGTTTTGTACATTTTGACTTGCAAATGTGCTTCGCGCCACAACTGCGTGCACTTTTTCGACATCTCAACTTCCAAAAGTGCTCCGAGGCTGGTGTGTTTTGTACATTTTGACTTGCAAATGTGCTTCGCGCCACAACTGCGTGCAATTTTTCATCTCTCATCTGGCCAGCTGGCTCCGCACCCGCCGCTTTAGCGAGCCTACTTTTCGACCCTCCGGAGCCACAAATCATTGAATAAACCCTGTGTTTCGCGACTCTCCTACCTTTTCGCGCATCTGCACCTTCTTTCTTCTGACTCTTTCTCTTCTCTGATTTGCTCTCTTCTACTCTTCTCTTCTCTCTGCCTCTTCTCATCTCTGCTTTTCATCTGTCCATATTGTCGGAAGTTTGACTTCTAAACTTCCTTCCATAATATATATTTATAAATATAAAATAAAAAGTAATAATTATAGGACCGGATAACCCCACATGTTACCAACTTCTTTAGACTTAGACTGAGCATAGAAAAGCAAGAAGGGAAGAGGAAGTATAAGAGCGATGGAGGGGTGATGGTGGGTGAGTTTGCGTGTGTGTGTGTGTATGTATGTATGTATGTGCATGCACAGGTGAGTGAGTGAGTGAGTGAGCGAGCGAGTGAGTGAGTGAGTGAGTGAATGAGTGAGCGAGCGAGTGAGTGAGTGAGTGATGAGGTGGGTGAATGAGTGAGTGAGTGAGTGAGTGAGGAGGACGGGAGGACGGGAGGAAGGAGCGGATACAGAACTAAAAACAAAAAACCCACACGTCAATTGTGCCACGCCTGCCACGCAAAAGAGCATCCGACCCCTTGGTAGTGCACATTGTCCCACGCCTGCCACGCAAAAGAGGCGGAGACCCAAGGGACGCCAGGGCATACATCCGACCCCTTGGCAGTGCACATTGTGCCACGCCTGCCACGCAAAAGAGGCGGAGCCCCAAGGGACGCCAGGGCGTGCATCCGACCCCTTGGCAGTGCACATTGTCCCACGCCTGCCACGCAAAAGCGGCGGAGCCCCAAGGGACGCCAGGGTTTACATCCGACCCCTTGGCAGCGCACATTGTCCCATGCCTGCCACGCAAAAGCGGCGGTGATGAGTGAATGAGTGAGTGAGGGAGGGAGGGAGTGAGGGAGGGAGTGAGTCGCACGCCTGCCACGCAAAAGCGGCGGAGCCCCAAGGGACGCCAGGGCGTACATCCGCGCAGGCCTGCCACGCAAAAGAGGCGGAGCCCCAAGGGACGCCAGGGCGTACATCCGACCCCTTGGCAGTGCACATTGTCCCACGCCTGCCACGCAAAAGCGGCAAAAGGGACGCCAGGGCGTACATCCGACCCCTTGGCAGTGCACATTGTCCCACGCCTGCCACGCAAAAGCGCCTGCCACGCACAAGCGGCGGGGAGGGAGCGAGGGAGGGAGGGAGGGAGTGAGTGAGTGAGTGGGTGGGTGAGTGAGTGAGGAGTGAGGGAGTGAGTGAGCGAGCGAGCGAGCGAGCGAGTGAGTGAGTGGACGGGAGGACGGGAGGAGGACGGAGCGGATACAGAACTAAAAACAAAAACCCCACACGTCAATTGTGCCACGCCTGCCACGCAAAAGAGGCGGAGACCCAAGGGACGCCAGGGCGTACATCCGACCCCTTGGCAGTGCACATTGTCCCACGCCTGCCACGCAAAAGCGGCGCACATTGTCCCACGCCTGCCACGCAAAAGCGGCGGAGCCCCCGCCAGGGCGTACATCCGACCCCTTGGCAGGGCACATTGTCCCACGCTTGCCACGCAAAAGCGGCGGTGAGTGAGTGAATGAGTGAGTGAGGGAGGGAGGGAGCGAGGGAGGGAGGGAGGGAGTGAGTGGGTGGGTGAGTGAGTGAGTGAGGAGTGAGTGAGTGAGTAAGTGAGTGAGTGAGTGAGTGAGTGGACGGGAGGACGGGAGGAGGACGGAGCGGATACAGAACTAAAAACAAAAACCCCACACGTCAATGTGGGGGAAACAAATATATATATATTTATATATACACAATATATAATGCATTAACAAGGGCTGAGCCAACCATCAATGGGAATTTCATAGGACTTGACAGCTATCTAATATCAACAATGGTGATAGAATATGGAATTTTTCATGAGATGTCATGGGATTTCAAGGGATTTTGTGGGACTTTAATGATGATATGAACCACTCATAGCCGCATTTATTCTGTCCTAGGGATCTGAACAATCCCACGGCCGGGGAATCCTGGAATCCTCGCCTCACTGAACAGCGCAGGTTGCTGCCAAAACGCTGGGGGGGTGGGGTGTTGAACCGGAGCACCACCGGCGGAGCGCTGTAGCCGCCCAAGTTGCCTTGGCCAGAAAGAAGGCAACGCCGGTCGGTGACTCATGCGTGTAGACCAGCATCACGGCTGCTACAATCTGGCACTCCTGGACTGCTGCAAGCAGACCTCCACTGTGGCACGCTTTGGAGAGTCGTTCCCACCGTGCGCGGCAACGACGGGCTGCATCTTCGGAAGAAAAGTGCCACAACTCACTGACCCTCGGCTTAGCTTGGCACTCCCAAAAAATTGACCATCAAACCTTATTCATGGTTGATCAATACAGGATGGGGCCCCCAGTCGATAGCGTGAACCGTTGCCTGATTTCAGTGGCTTTATGGTAGATATAACGAACTAGTGAAAATGCGGGGTTTTGTTATGGTTTATAAACCCACGTTCACATCACTGGGGGGCCCCATCCTGTAGGCCTTTGGGGCATTGATGATTGGAATCACTTGTGGGTTCACCAATAGTTCCGTGATTTTTTGTTTCCACAAATACGCGGTGTCGACCGCAGCGCCGGAAAGGACATTTCGGATATTTCCAAGATCCAATATGCCGGGATTTTAATATTTGTCAAACCCCAATAGATAGAACAGTTGGAAACCTGAGAACTCCGCGGTAAAATTCATCTATAACATCCAGGAACAACTTCCCTATCCATTGCGAGCATCCTACAATAAAGTAAACATTGGAATAATCGCCCCGTGTCAATTGTTTACTGCTGATATCCCCATCATAAAACACCATGTTGGATGGCTGAAGCACCGGACATGGGGTTTAACCCATGTGGGTTTGGCTGAAAATGGGGGATACCGTCAAGTAACTCTCTTAATTGGAAAAATGATTGTCAAAGAATATACCATTGCTTTTTGTTTTCCAATTTGTGCTTTTGCCCATGAACAACATTAGGTTCTTCCCCCATATAGGATGAAAAGAACACATATTCCAAACCAATAACTATCAACCAACCGTATGATTGGCAAATTGGTAATTTTTCCGCGCTAAAATCACTATTTTCAGCTGCTCTCCCCACACGAAGCCGAGATGGGCGCAATCCGAGTTGCTGTACAAGTCATCGGCCAAGCCTTGCAGTGCGACGATGCCCAAAGGGTGAAACCTCATCGCCGCCAGGGCTTCAAGCAAGAGCAATGAGCGGTAATATGGGGTAATCCCGTCCCCCTAATATTAAACACCCCCTACATGGTGCCAGATATGTGGTTTTTATCCCCTACTAAACCATGGTATCTGTGGGATGTTGAATATTAGGGAGGGAGTAATATCAGATTTTGTTCGCGGGGATATAACTACTTGGGGGTGGCCAGATTTCAATGGCTACACCTACCAACCATTGGTTGATACTTGGTGGTTTCAACCCTATGAAAGTCACTGGGGATCACTAGACGACGGA